GTTTGTGAGTTTGAGCCCCGCGTCGGCTGGGCTCTGTGCTGACAGCTCAGAGCCTGGAGCCTACTTCAGATCCTGTGTCTTGCCCTCTCTCTACCCCTCCTCTGCTCATGCTCTGTGTCTCTCTGTCTCTCAATAATAAATAACTGTTAAAATTAAAAAACAAAAAACCAATACCCCAACAGATTGAATGCAGAAGACGATATGAAAATACAGCTGCCTTCTACTGTTAGACATTAAAGAGAATTACAAAAATAGGAAACAATACCATCCTTCTTAATTTTTTTTGGTTTTGGAAAAATTTTATTTTTCCAAAAAAATGCTATTATATGCTAACATGTAATGAGTTTATTATGTTTTTTTTTAATTTATTTTTTATTTTTAAGTAATCTCTATACCCCATGTGGGGCTGGAACTCATGACTTTGAGATCAAGAGTCACATGCTCCACTGAGCCAGTCAGGTGCCCCAATTGTGGGGTTATTTCAAAACTAATTAAATATTTTAAGGACTGCTCAGTTTTCATTCCTAATATAGTAAATATCAATATATGTTACAAACATAAACAAAAGTTCCTTGGGGTCCTAAACAACTTAGGGGCCTCCAAAGACCTTTTGAGGATTTTAAGAACAAAAAGTTCAACCATCACAGAAACACAGTAGGTTCTCTTACGTTATCTGAAAACTTTGAATAACAGAGAAGCCTGCCTTTTATACATTTTTTTAATGTTTATTTATTTATGAGAGAGAGACAGAGTGTGAGTGGGGGAGTGGCAGACAGGGAGACACAGAATCTGAAACGGGCTCCATGATCTGAGCTGTCAGCACAGAGCCTGAGTTGTGGCTCGAACCCATGAACTGCGAGATCATGACCTGAGCTGAAGTCAGACGCTTAACTGACTGACCCCCAGAAGGCTGCCTTTTAAATTTTCCATCCAGATTTGGGTGATCATAAGAGAAAAGGTGGTTTAGAGAGAATACACAGTACTGCTCCCACTAAGGAGAGGGAGATGAAAAGCAGCATATGTTAGACCAAGACCAAAGTCAATGGGAGGGTCAGAAGAGAGTTATCTATTTCTAGAAATGAAAGCTCTGAAGGAGACAGACTTAGAACATGGTCCCCAGAGGACACAGAACACCGAATACTAATAATCATAAATATTTCCTAATATTCACACATACCCTCATTTGTATGGATCATTCAATAATCTTTATAATTCATTCATAGCAGCCAGTCCTAGCTTAGGGAAGTCAGAGACAGCTTTAGTGCCAGTGGTTGTGCAGAGGGATGCCTACCAAAAATGCTTTTCTGGAGCCAGAAATGGCTTGAAGAATCTTTACATGTCCAGGAATTTTAATTATATCACTCTGTTCACTCCACATCTTCTTGGTCAGTGTCTACGTCAATGTCTGATATTTGGCAAGGTCAGAGCACAACTGATCACAGAATGGATATCTGACTTGATTCATAGCTCACAGAATCAGTTTAGAGTTAAAAAGGTGAAAACTTAGGTCTCTAAACAGTCGTCTAGTAACAAAATCCAGAAAGTGGTATCTTCATCAAACACAGGAAGTTCCCTTTGGCTTTGTTGGGGTGAAATACAGTCACTTGCAATGCACTGTCTTCAATCAGTTGTCTTTTGGAACTGTTCTCATGTGCAGATCAAATCCATCAGATTTTATGCCAGGATGGCAAGGGCTCTGTTTCATTCGTCACCAAATATACAGAGCCTAGCAGAGTATCTGGAACATGGTATACAAATAATCACTGATTAAATGAGACAATCAACAGAATGAAGGAATGAACTCGGGCATTCTTCATTTTGCTTTTCTTCCCAAATTGATCAATCCGTATTGGTTAACTAACACTCCATTGCCATTCTTATCTTGTACTTATAAAAATTACTGTCCTGTTCTGAAATTATCATTAAAATTCTTGATACAACACTAACAATTACTTTTACTAAGTTCTCTCATTGTAAACTATTCTATCCATCTAATGAACATTTGTTATTTACTTGCAGAAAATGGCTTTAGGCTGGTTCTTCAAGTTTATTTTTTTATTTTCATTTTTTAAAAAATTATTTTATTTTTTTTATTAAAAGTTTGTTTTATTTTTCTGTGAAATTGAGTATTAGCCCCCAGTTTACAGTCTGTTTTTTTTTTTTTATGGCTTCCAAACATTTTAAAAGTTATTTTATTTTTGTGAGAGAGAGAAAGAGTGTTAGCAGCGGAGGGGCAGAGAGAGAGACACAGAATCCAAAGCAGGCTCCAGGCTCTGAGCTGTCAGCACAGAGCCCAATGTGGGGCTGGAACCCACAGACCACGAGATCATGACCCGAGCCAATGTCAGACACTTAACTGACTGAGCCACCCAGGTGCCCCTGGTTCTTCAAGTTTAATAATAGGCAATATTATATTTTGACTAGTAGGTCACAGCAACTGACATCAAAATAAGAAAAAAGGATGGGCATAACTTACTTCTACCAAAACACCTAATAGGTACAAGGCTCCATGGTGCCTTCTATATAAAAATACAACCTATAATTTCCCAGAAATCTACAATGTAAAATTTAAGCGATTAGACTATGATTGTACTAGAAAAAAAAATCCTGCCTATAAATTGCTCTTCTATAAGCTGTTCTTTTAAAATCATCCATGTTAGTTTGGGTTCTCTGAGAAACAAATGATAAGATGGGATTAGATGTGAGAGATTTATTGGGGAGATGTTTTGAATTATAAAGGGGAAAAGTAGGCAGAGTCTGACTCCTGTGAAGGGGAGAGAGAAGGAAAGGAGGATTGGGTAGGAAGAGTCTCAGATGGTCTGAAGAAAGCATGGTCTGAACAAAGTACTGGGCAGGTTAATGGGGAGTGTTTGAGTCAATGCCACCCACCAGGGGCGTGGGCCAGCATACTCATTCATTGGCTGAGAACAGCCTGGGGAAAGTGTGTCCTCAGTAGGAACACAGTGTTGGATTCCATGGGGTAGTAGCTGGGGTTCTCAGTCAACTCTGCTTCTCATAGGAGATGTGAGTGATGCATATCCATTGCTGCTGTATCATTTTTTGAAGACTTCAGGTTTTTCCATTTAATGTTTGATGGACATAAAGACCATAAATGTTTTCATGCCATCAAATCTTACCTATATATTTGACAGCTGTCATGAAACATGTTACTATTAACAGAGGTTAAGGATTCTGTTATAATACAACACTTTGGTTGTAACATCCTTTATATTAGTGTTTGACGTGTCTAAGTTGTCTTTCCTCTATCACAGCATAAACACAAGCAAGAATATGCAATACAAAATAATTTGATACAGTTCTGGAGTAACATAATAAAAACCTCCATTAATGTGGGCTAATTGAAGGTTGACTAAATTACAGAATGTTTTTAAAGGAATGTGGTTCTTACTTAGCAACATACATAGTAACTGCCATTAGAAGAACAAATGTTGACAAAGACTGATGACTAGGCCCAATTACCACACCAGTTAGTTTGTTTCTGAGAACACACATTACAAAAAGTTTATTTATGTAAATAAATCTCCTACAATCTTCTCAAATAATACTACACTTATAATTCATGTCACACAATCATCAGCCCACTGCATTATCTTCTACAGGCCGTGCAAACCCCTTCTTCCTAGGTAATTTCAGTGTAGCCTGGGGGCTGAAGGCCCAATCCCTGTGACAGAGTAAGGCCAGAGGCCAGCATGGGTTGCCACAGGCAAGCCCAGCAATTTCTATTCTTCCTTTCCATTCCATGTCTATAAACTGGCCTTGACTTTTCCTGACCCAGTTATCCAAAGGCCACAGGACAAGAGCTTTTGAGTCATCAAAACTGACTAAGCTGGCCCATTTCATCCCCTGCTTTTGTCACAAATTGGTCCTCTGTACCTAAATTTTGTGTTAACAAACTAGTGCATATTTCTGCTCAGTTCATCGGTGCAAAAAATCACTAATTTTCTTACTAATGATTTTGTAATGTTATATTCATAAAACAATTTTTTTTTAACGTTTATTTATTTTTGAGACAGACAGAGACAGAGCATGAACGGGGGAGGGTCAGAGAGAGGGAGACACAGAATCTGAAACAGGCTCCAGGCTCTGAGATGCCAGCACAGAGCCTGACGCGGGGCTCGAACTCACGGGCCGCGAGATCATGACCTGAGCTGAAGTCGGCCGCTCAACCGACTGAGCCACCCAGGCGCCCCTAAAACAATTTCAATTAAAGTATTTCAAACTTAGTTTCTAAATATTTCCCCCCCAGAAAGCCTAGAGACTTGGAAAAATACATTTATGATTTACAGATAGCTAACACTTAATGAGAGGTTTGTGCTATGCACTGTTCCAAGTACATGTACCTACTCATTTAAAGTTCTCAACTGCCCAAAAAGGGCAGTATTATCTCCAATTTACACATGAAGATACTGAGGTGTGGAAAAGTTGAATAACTTACCCCAGGTCACACAGCTAGTAAGTAGCAGAGCCAAAATTTGAACCTAAGTAATCTGTCTCTGGAGCTAGACTTTCTGTTGTTACTGTGGCCTTATAAAACTATAACGTGTTATTTAACTCACATTCAAAAAGCACTATTACCTAGCATATAGCAATAAAAATCATTAAAACTTGTTTTACATTTGTACTTTATAAGCAGCTGATTAATTTAAAATGCAATGATGAAATATGCAGCTCTAATCATCTTTTATATACTCCAATATATTTAAATTAAAATTAATGTGCTAATGTAGAAATATTTCCCCTTTCTTAATTTATAGCAGCATATTTCCTTTCAAGGCATTATTTGTGGGTTTTTAAAACATTTTTATTTATTTTTGAGAGACAGAGTATGAGCAGGGGAGGGGCAGAGAGAGAGGGAGACACGGAATTTGAAGCTGCAAGCTGCAGGCTCCGAGCTGTCAGCACAGAGCCCTATGTGGGGCTCAAACCCACAAACTGAGAGATCATGACCTGAACCGACGTTGGAAGCTTAACTGACTGAGCCACCCAGGCACCCCTATTTGTGTTTTTAAACACATTATAGAGATTAAATGACTTAAAGGATATACAGAGAGAAAATAATGAGAAATAAATTAATTCAGATGTACATATTCAGAAAAAGATACTGAAGTTAATAATATACGGCTTAAAAGTCAATACAGCGTCCTTTTCGTTCCCAATCTCCATATCGGGTAGGTTCTGGGCCTCTGGGTCCACCTTTTTCTTTGGTAACGGGATTAATATCATCTGGAAATTCTAAAGAAAGACAGAAGATACAAAAAAAAAAAACAGTCAATACAGACAAGAAAAGCGTGAAGACCAATTCTGAAGACAGAGTGGTCGAGTTGCAGAGTTAATAGGCTAGATACTACTGACTAGGTTATTACAATGCAGTCTTTTAAATGAACTGTAAATGTGGTTCTTTTCCTCAAGTTTGAGAAATCACTTCTGGACACAAATGTCATATCCAACGAACTTTATTACCTACATTAATTACTTAGAATTCTTGGGAGTGTTCTCAGGCCCCAATATGGGGAGTGGCTGCATTTGTATGGATGGATTAAAAGAGAGGGAAAGGAATGCAGGGAATACAGAGTACAAATCCACAGGGTTTGGAAGGTTGTGAAACAAGGTTACTTTGGCTCACTGCCTCAGTTTTCTTATCAGTAAAATGGGTATAACAACCATATCTGATTTGCTATGTTGAAAATTAAACAAAGAGATGCATGTAAAGGATCCAGCTCACTGCCGGGTACCTAAGAATGCCCAATTAATTTTAGTTATGAGTATTATTGTTCTTCATCATAGGATTTTGGCTTCATGAAATGGTTAGCTGACACTGCCATTCATGGACATAACAACTATTACTCTGAATACTGTGTGTTCATAAAGGACTATTCATCTTGAGTCTGGCCCAATTCTGAGTACTTTATTCACAGTAACTCATTTAATCCTCATAATAATCATATGGGACAGGAACAATTATTGTCTCCATTTTATAGATGAGGAACATGAGACACAAAGAGGTTCAGAAAGGTGCTCCTGATCACACAGCTAGCTACCAAGTGATAAACAGAGTTTGAATTCAGACAGTCTGGTTGCAGTCTTGTTTTTAACCCATAAACTACTGCTCTGTATATGGGACGGACAGAAGAGGAGTCAGCTATTAGAAAGAACCCCAATTCTTACTCTGTGTCTCTTTAGAAAACTAGATGAACATCACCAAAATCCCATAGTCCCTGTCTAGGAAAAAAGACAATTAACCCTGAAAAATTTTTTTTTTTTCAACGTTTATTTATTTTTGGGATAGAGAGAGACAGAGCATGAACGGGGGAGGGGCAGAGAGAGAAGGAGACACAGAATCGGAAACAGGCTCCAGGCTCTGAGCCATCAGCCCAGAGCCTGACGCGGGGCTCGAACTCACGGACCGCAAGATCGTGACCTGGCTGAAGTCGGACGCTTAACCGACTGCGCCACCCAGGCGCCCATCCCTGAAAATTTTCAAATATGTACCTGTTTTTAAAATTCTTTCTCTACTGTGAATCAAGTATTCCCTACCCTGTCATTCTAAGAACTTGCTGGGACTTCCTCTGAAAGCATCTAATGGAAACTCTTCCATCTCCCATATTTCTGGGGCCCACCGAGTATCTTCATCAGCTTGGGTTGCCAAAACAAACTACCGTAGACTTAAACAACAGAAACTAACTTTCTCACAGCTCTCGAGGCTAGGAGTCTGCAAGCAGGGTGCCAGCATGGCTGGGTTCTGGTGAAGACTCTTCCTGGCTTGTAGACAGCCCCTTCTCAATGTCCTCACATGGCAGGGAGAGAATGATGGCGAGCTCTCTAGTGTCTCTTCTTATAAGGACACGAATTCCGACATAGGGAATTCTCATGACCTCATTTAAAACCATCTCTAGGGGCGCCTGGGTGGCTCAGTCGGTTGAGAGCCCGACTTCGGCTCAGGTCATGATCTCATAGCTCATGGGTTCGAGTCCTGCATCGGGCTCTGTGCTGACAGCTCAGAGCCTGGAGCCTGCTTCAGAGTCTGTCTCTCCCTCTCTCTCTGCCCCTACCCCGCTCATGCTCTGTCTCTCAAAAATAATAAACATTAAAAAAATTAAAAAAAAAAACTAATTATCTTTTAAAGGCCCTATCTCCAAATACCACCCCCACTGGGGGGTTAGGGATTCAACATATGGATTTTAGGGAGATACAACTCAGTCCATAGCACTAGGCAAGAAAGAAAGGGTCAAGATGTCCCTGCACCTCACTGCTACTTCCAGTCTCTCATTCTACCACCAAATCTTTACAGCCTTTCCTCTTTTGAATTCTGCACCATTTACTTGTCCAGTGCTTTTCTGTAGTCCAGTAATAAAGTCAAAGACTCTTCTAACTTCTTGGATAGGATCAATATTTGATTCATAGTTTGATCTCTCCCCATTGTTCTTCATATCAACATGCACATTAGTATCCTCACATACTGGAGACATGGAGGCCCTTAATCCTCTTTCCTAGTGATCTTCACATCCACTTGTGCTATCCATTTCGATTTCATTATCTCCTGAATATGTTCCTTCTCCAAGTCTCACACTCTTGAGCTTTCTTCTTTCTGACTGCAGCCTCCTATGGAGGCTTTTCCCTCATGTTTGTTTAACCCAATTTTCACCCTCATTATAATCTATAGCTTTCTGAAATTCTTTACTCTCATTAGTTCCATCCTGAGTCATGCTTGGAGTCATATTCTAGACTAATGCAACCATTTTCTAACTCATCTCTGTTTTCTGACTCTCATGACTCCAGCCTAACCTGCACAGAAGGATAAATTAATCTTTCTAAAACAGAATCCCTCCTCCACATTACATTAAGTGAAAGAGGCCAGACACAAATGATTATGCACTGTATGATTTCATTTATATAAAATCCTAGGAAGGGCAAAATTATAGTGACAGAGAACAGATTCATGGTTGCCAGGGGGATGGGAGAATGAAACTAATTATAAAGAGGCACCAGGGGCTCTTTGTGGGATTGAATTGTTTTATACTTTGTGTTGGTTATATGGTTATAAACATTGTTAAAATTCATAAAACTGTTTCTTAAAATGGGTGAATTTTATTATATGCAGATTATACTACAGTAAAGCTGATTAAAATAATCTCCATTCAAAAAACTTGAGAGCTGTCTTCACTGTCTACTGCATAAAGCCCATATGCTATAAACTGGTACTTCAGGCACTCCCAGACTTGAGCCAAATCTACCTTTCTAGCTTTATATTCTATTAATCCACTATATACACCCTATGCTGCAGCAAAACAGGAACATTGGCTGTATCTTGCATGTATCTCCCTGGCCTCTCTTTCTCTGACCACATCTTTCTTTTTTTTTTATTTTAGAGGGAGCACATGAACAGGGAAGAGGGCAGAGAGAGAGAGAGAGAGAAAATCTTAAGCAGGCTCCATGCTCAGTGCAGAACCCTACACAGGGCTTGATCCATGTTCTGGGATCATGACCTGAGCCGAAATCAAGGAGTCAGATGCTCAACCGAATGAGCCACCTAGGTGCCCATCTTTCTCTTTTTTGAAATGTCTTCCTACCATTCCTTAACTACTTATGATTTTATTGTGCCTTTTAAACCAAGCTCAATGTTAATCTCTTTTCTCTCCTTTTTTTCTGAACTTTTTGCATTATCTCTTATGCCAGTTACCACATGATGTCCTGTTGATAGTTATTTTCGTATCTCATTTTCCTTATTCATCTTTGCATCAAACAGGGTGTTCAGATGCAAACAATCTTCCTTTATTATCTTAACAATTTTTTTTAATGTTTATTAGAGAGACAGAGCGTGAGTGGGGGAGGGGTAGAGAGAGAGGGAGACTTGGATCTGAAGCAGGTTCCAGGCTTTGAGCTGTCAGCACAGAGCCTGACACGAGGCTCAAACTCACGAACCATGAGATCATGACCTGAGTTGGACACTTAACTGACTGAGCCACCCAAGCACGCCCCTTTATTATCTTAATGAAGTCTACTCTCTGCAAAGGGACCACCTATATATTTTTCTTAGAATGACATGCGTACCATAGGCAGGGAGACAAGCCCAGAAAGAAGGAAACAAGGAAGAAGACAAACTTGTTAGGAGACCAACAAAACCACAGATGCTTGAATTTGGGCTTCATTGGCAGGATGAATGAGTTTGACATGTTAAGAAGGTATTGGATCCAGGACACAGGAGAAGCAGGAGTGAAGGATATCCCCAGATTTCTGACTCTCTACTTTTGGGCAGAGGTAGAAGAGCTTAAAAAAGAAGTGAGGAAAAATTGGTTGAAGAAACAGGAGGAGAAACTGGGCAAAACATAACCAAAACCACGACAGACAGATTTCTAGCAGCAGTGGTTAACAATGTTGAAGCTTGTAGACAGTTCATATAAAATGAGGACTGAAAGGCATTTGCTGGGTTTGGTGATATTTACCAGACCAGCTTCTAAGAGATGGTAGGTTCAACATAAATTGCAGCGACTCAAAAATTAAGATGAATAGCTGGCATTGTGTCAAACAGATGATTACCTTTTGAAATGTGCTTTTTTCTTTACTATGTGAAATATATATAACATTTATCATATTAATCCCATTATGATATAGTTTATCATTTTAACCACTTATAAGTGACAATTCAGTGGCACTGACTATATATATTCTCATTGGTAACTATCACACTATCTACACCCACAAGTTTTTCATCATCCTCAATATAAACTCTATACCCATTAAGCAAAAACTTTCCCTTTCTCCCTTCCTCTAGACTTTGATAACCTCTATTCTACCTTGTCTCTATGAATCTGCCTACTCAAGGTACATAATTTAAGTGGAATCATGTATTTGTCCCTCTGTGTCTAACTTATTTCACTAAGCATAATGTTTTCAAGGTCCATCCATATTGTAGCACATTATTAAAATGCCATTCCTGGGGCACCTGGGTGGCTCAGTCGGTTAAGCGTCTGACTTCAGCTCAGGTCATGATCTCACGGTCTGTGAGTTCGAGCCCTGCGTTGGGCTCTGTGCTGACAGCTCACAGCCTGGAGCCTGCTTCAGATTCTGTGTCTCCCTCTCTCTCTGACCCTCCCCCATTCATGCTCTGTCTCTGTCTCAAAAATAAATAAACATTAAAAAAAAAATAAAAAATAAATAAAATAACATGCCATTCCTTTTAATGACTGAATAGTATTCCACTATATGTACTTACCACATTTTGTTTACCCATTTAC